CCCCTCCCCCTGGCTCCAGCTCCGGGCTGCCCGGGACGCGAGCGACGGGGACGTACGGGAGCGGTGGCCTCGTACGAGCTCGAGAGCGCGAACCGGGAACCCCTCAGCCCGGAGAAGGCTCGGGGGGATCTTGGCGAGGCCTATAAACACCTGAGGGGAGGGAGTAAGGAAGCCAGACTCTTTGCTGCGGTATCCAGGGAGAGGACAAACTGAAATACTGAAAATTCCACTTAAACATACCAGAACCCCACTTTTTTTTTTTTTAAATACAGTGAGGGCTGGCAAACATTGGAACAGGCTCCCTAGAGAGCTCCTAGAGTCCCCAACTGGCCGAGATCCTGAGCCACTTGCTCTAGCTGGCCCTGCTTTGAGCGGGGGCATTAGACTAGACCATCTCCAAAGGTCCCTTCCAGCCTCAGTGATTCCGCGGTTTTGACCTGCGACTGAAGAGTACCTACAGCGTCACCCAAATTAATCTCTGGTACAAGAGGCAACTCATTTCAGCAAGTAGGAGTGATGTGCTATTGTTTCAAAAATGAGCTTGGGCCACTGTTGATTTCTGAAAGTAAAACATGACTTTTGAGTAAAAGCATTTTTCATGTGCTTGGTTTCAATGGCTATTCACGTAAGGGACAGAACCATTCTTTTGGCTATAGCCCGTCATCGATACAAGTGCCAACTCAGCCAAGCTACCCATCAGGAGCAAAAGTTGCATTTTTCCAGTCATCCTTCAGTCTAGGTAACAAATCTTGATCAGCTACCTTCATATGCAACTTTTAATTTTGATCTGTCCTTCAGGTAGAAGACCTATTCCTCATTTAGAAAAAAAAAAAAAAAAAGCCCAAACCCTTTTCACAAAGTGGGAATTAAGTAAAAAGTCTCCCAGAAAGCTCCCATGAGGAAGGTGATGATTATGAAATCCTCTTAAAAGTTTTTAAATAGACTCACTACAATATGAATGTTTTACATCACTCTCAAAGTCAAAACCCGACAGCATTCCTGGAAACAGAGAGAAAACTTAGTTCCTGGGCTAATTCTTCACTGTTTAGCCCCACCTGCCTTTCAAGTAGAAGTTCTCCCAGGACCAGTTACTACTTTTGCAATAAGACCTGAAGAAGTGGGGGGAGAAAACAAACAAAAACCCCAAATAGCCCTCTCCACTCCTCCCACCCCACCACCTGTGGCCCAATTTTAACATTTGGGGACAGTTTTTAATAGCCTGAAACCCTTGAAGCTTTTCCACCCTGCACTTTAGAGTGCGCAAAGCAGAATTTATCACATGCGCTACAGAAAAAGCACTGTGGAGCACACGTCTTACATTTAAGTCTACAACAGAGTCTAAGTGCTAGTTTTCAAATACCCTTCAGATTTACTCATCCAAACAAGGGAGCTTTTAAATAATTTGTCATCCCAAACAGCACACAGCTTAGATTAACCTATGCCATGTGTGTCAGCCAGCTAAACTGATAAGAAATAAAAGTTCCTCAGGTTTTCAAAAGCGATGATCAGTAAGAGAAGATAACAGCATTCCCAGTCCTCCAGTATTATCAAGCTATTTTATCCTGTTAGTCCATTAGACCCTGCTACAGGGGTCTAATGCTGTTAGGGTCCTTGCTACCCTATCTACAGATAGCTGCAAGCGCTTGCAACATTTACAGTCAGGGTCTCAATGTTGCTAACCTATCACTGACTCCCTTTGCAGCAGTATGACAAGCTGGAAAAAATTTCCATAATTGTTTGCTATAGCTGTGGTACTTCAGAAAGGTGAAAACTGTGGTAGCTCTCCTGAAGATCAAAAAGGTCAGAGACAGTCATGTCTTCTACCATGGCTAAAGACAGAGTACTCAGTTATCCTCCTTGGTTAATAACTATTTCTTTCTTCTTGACTGAGGCTTTTGGAGAGCAGGAGGTATTAGTGCCAGCGCACCTTGGGCAAGCCTCTCAGACAATTAAGCAAAGATCAAACCACATACACCAGTTCTATATATGTCTCTGGCAAAAGGATGGTGGCTGTACATAAAGCAAAGGGACACGCTAATCAGTCCTACCAGATACCCAGGTGAAGTATCACACCGTTTTGCCCTCTGTTGCAGCCACTGTAACTCATAAGGCTCCAAGGTTTGGTTCTTTATTACATGGAACACAGCTTCTCCCTCCACCCTTTTTAATAACTGCTGCTAAATCCATACTCCTGTAACGATAAGCATTAAGTTCATGCATCAACATCTATTTGTGCCTCCCTGCCTTAAGCACCAGATGCCCAGCCACAAGAGGAGAATACAAGCCGGAGGATCTGTAGACACTGATGATTGCTGGGTAGAAAAATCAATTTAATTTCATGGTTCAGTTATGTGAAACCAAAGAGGTTGTACAGTTTAATTAATCAGTACTTACTGTAAAATAGGTTTTTTACTACAGCAAAATAAATAGGTAGTTAACATGCAAAGAAGTAATTTACAACTTAAATTCTGGTTAATAGTAATGAGCTCCACAGTTTCATTTTCAGCAATACTGAATTATTAGTGGGCTGTTGAGAAAACCAGAGAATTTCTGATACTGTGACTGGTGCCAGAGCACAACAGCCTATATTCCAATTCACTTTAAGATACTATTTTGATTAAACTCTTCCTGTTCACTAACAACTTCACAGCTCCTATTCCCATTCTAGCACCGTCCAAAGAAAGGGCTCAATAATAACTTGGAACTTTTCCCCTTCATCTAGGTTTCTCACTGCATCTTGTTCCTTGGGTTCCTATCTCACTCCTGTCTGTGGGACCAGAGCTTCTCTGCAGCACAGTGATGCCCAGTACCAAGCACCCAGAGCAAGCACCAATCCCATCTGGTACTGCTTACTAGAGGGGTTAATTAGGTCACGTTTAGCCGAAAACTGACGTGGCATCTTCCCAGCTTGGCGAGCAGCACCTCACAGCTCTCTGTGCACAATGACTTGCTCATTCTGAATTTTAAACACTGGTAAGATACTTGGAGGTTATTACTATGGCAACTGAACTACCTTACTTTCAAGCAAGACAAAACTATTTACTGTTAGACCTACAGGCAAGTCATTTGTCTACTAAAACATTGACAAGGTCTTAAAGCAGTCCTAGTTACCCAAACACTGGAATGCAATTCCCGTAAGAGCTGCTCACAGATTGGGTATCTACCCAGCCTATGCTATGGCTATGAGCAAGCCACTCTACTCCCGCTTGCTAACTTTTAAGTGGGTATGGAAATCCATCTTACCTGCCTTACAGGGGATTCTCGGGATTTGTTTGCAAAAGCGCCCACTTTAGTGGCTTGACAACAAGATGGCACATGAATTAGAGATACTTTAGTAACAAATGCACCAGCAGGTCATTCTTGAGTACTTAAATCACTAAAATGATCTTTTCTGAAAAGAAAAAGAAACGCTGTTACCTAGGCTTTCGCTTCAATGCCTAAGATTTCTTTCTCCCAACACACAGTGAATGCAGAACCAGTCACAATTAGGTTCATATTAATCATTAACAGCATAACAAAACCCAATAATGAGATTTTTAGGAACTCATTAACAAGGACATACCATACACAATTTTATTTATACATGGCAATTTATACAATAGCTAAAAGCTTGTTTTTCTCAGGAAAACCTGTGTACCTGGATATCAGAAATAGCACCTAGTGTTTGTAAAGAAAATAAAGACTTTGCAGTATCATTTACCACAAGCACGGGTCAGATCTTAAACGGTTTGGGAGCAGTGCCATGTGGCTATATTAAATTTAATTTCCTGTGATCACCTGATTAACTCATTGCTTCACTTCATCGGGGAATTTGGGTAACCAGGTATCTCTGAAACACTAGGAATGCATAGTTCATGAGACTAAATACACTCGACAAAAAAGAACAAATCACAGTTTTGGTCTGAAGTTATTGCAGTGCAAATTTAAATACCAGTGTTTTTAAAGCAGTGGAACATAAGAGAGGTAGGTACTTTCCTCCTTGATGGCAGGGATTTAACATCGCTTAAGAGTTGTTTAAGCCAAGTACTTGTAGAAGATGTTAGATATCACAGGTACACAAACAAGATATGGCAGACTAGATTAATTGGAAGAGATTTAAAGTTACATATAAAATGTTTCACTGGCATAAAAAAGTTCTATTGCAAGAGGTTACTTTCTGCAGAGTGAGCCATTACCCTCAACTCGAAATACATGATACACCGCACTAAAGTTTTAGTGACACGAGGCCACGTTTACCTTGATGCTCAATACTTGGCACGGTAACTTCCTTTGCTAAACAAGGTCACTGAAGATCGTAAGAGTGACATTTTCATTAAAATAAAGTGCACTCTTCTGCTTGGAGCAATGGCTCATGCTCTACTAAAAAGCAGCCTCTAATTATATGAACTTATTTACCTACCAGGATTGTCAAAAAAAGCAATCAGGACCCAGCCCATTGATGGAAAAAAGCCACTTTTTACCCAACTCTTGCACTACTTCCTCTCCCCCCCTGCCTTTTGTTCCACACTATGCAATTTTATTAAAAATATTTCCTCTTATTTCTGAAGCCTGGCTTAACATTCTCTTCAAAAGAAGCAATATCAGCGCTTACGTGCACCACTGCAGGCTGTCAGGTGGACTGACAAAGAGAGAACGTTTATACGAAGAAATGTCGTATTTCGGGTAGTGCTTTCTTTTTATAAAGAGTAAATTTAAAGACAACGAACGTGAAGTTTTCAAATCATTACAAGAATATCCTCTCTGATTGCAGTTCATCAGTTTTACCACCTAGCTTATTGAAACATTAACAGTGTGCTTGCCTTCATACTGCAAAATGATTTAAATGAAAGGTGCTATAATGAACACTTTCCTACATCTTTTTCACTAAGAGACAAGATGTCATGCACAGTTGAGACGTTAGATTTTAAACCTATTTACAATTTTACATATTTTACAATATATATTTCATCTTTACAGCTACAGAATAAATTCAGACTAACATTGGTACCTTTCGAGTTTCTGCCAGAACTCGAAATTTTTAAGTTAAACTAATTATTAAAAACATGTAAGTGCATGCTTAGAAGGAAGTTTTCAGGAAAAAGATGTCAATGGACTAGTGTTGCTTAAAAATTACACTGGTTTGTGTAGAAAATTTAAATTCAGTTTCAAAAACCCACAAAAGCCTAATAGAAATCTACTTTGACTAAAATAAATACAATTTATTACACTTAACAAAAAATGTACCTTTAAAAATGTACTGATTTAAGCTCATTTGACTTTTACCCTTGAATTTACTTCCCTTTCCAAGTAGCAGATAGTACTAGGTGAGGATAAGGATGCCTTTCAAAGTTAACACTGATAATTATCCTGCATAAACTTGAGGCTGCAGTGGTGGGGGCAGCTTGTCATTCTCCACATTTTCAGAGTCAATAGCTGCTAAGGCTTGATTTTTTGGTTTTATTTCTAACGGATATCTCTCAACAATATCTTGGACTTCCTTAGTAATTCCATCCGTCCAATCTATCAGGTCTTTCTCAAGCTTCTTGGCTTCACTGACAATTCTTTCCTGTCTCTCATTCAACTGAGATAGGAGATCTAAGTTTTTATACATTTGCTTAACACCCAGGCACATATCAGGCGACCAGTTGTCAGATTCTTGCTTCTTCGGCGACGTCTGACCAGACATATAACGATCAAAGTCCTCTTGGCTCAGATTTAGAGACTGAGCATCCAGCTTTTCAATGAAGGCCACAGCGCAGCACTATGAACAGAACAGAGAGCGAGTATCACTGCAGGCTATAAACTGGAACTTGTGCTCTGCTTTTTAATCTTGCCGTTGAACCAGTAACTTATTATTTAACGCCTCAACAGATCACTTGTAAAGAAAGACCTTCTCAGGCAGCCAGCTATACCAGGCAGGTCACACATCTCTCTTCCCAAAGTTCAAAGTCAAAAGCTTAGAGCGTGATATAGGAAGATACTATTGCAGCTAAACTACACAGACTGACTGGATAACTTGCATGACAAAGCTCAAGGCCGCTGCATTTTGGAGGTGAGCGATCAGAAAGAACAAGACACGATGACTAAACAAGAGCACTATATTCATAGTTAATAATCTGATCAGCAGAGATCTGCTCTGCTCCCTTCATCTCTCTGCAGGAAGGAATGCTGAGATGCCCATCTCGCTCACCTTGGGGATGCTCTTGCCCTACTGAGGGGAACACTTAAATATTTCAAGTATTTCATTCAGCTACACGTTTTTCTAAAGAATTGCTTTAAGATGAACTGCAGAGGAGCCAAGTTCGTAATTCTTTCTAATATAAACAAGCATATAAATAAATGCCTCCTGCAGAAGTTTTAAAAAGCCTATTTACTTCCATACGTTAATGGCCTCGTTCTGCAGTCCCTTCATAGGAAAAATTCCTATGGGCTTAAATGGGGAACTTCGCATGCATAACATCTGCACTGCCCAAGCGCAGGAATTAGCAATAGCAAGTACTTATCTCCTTACAGGATAAAAACGTGCTCAAGTCTTAGCATCAGCCTGCTCAATAAAGGCTTTCATACCGTAAAGAAAGCAAAGCACTGTCTGGCTTGAAAAGCAGAGGTGGAAGAGAGAAGAGACATAAAGCAAAAGAGCTTGCTGTACCCTGAGTAACCTGAGCCACTATTTCAAGAGCAGCTTTAATTTTCCTTCTGCAATTTTATGATGTATTTGCCTTTACTGGGAATTCCTCCCCATCCAAACAGAAGACAGTCTTGTACAAAGCATCCGTACTATTCCTGCACTTACCAGATTGGTAAAATAGTAGCCATCTTCTCCTGTCATTAACCTGCTTGGATTACAGAAGCGTGTTATATATTGGATGTTGGACTGCAGGCGGGGTGGGTTTCCCTTCAAAACAATGTATATAAGTGTTGGAAGGAAATCATCAGCAGAAGCTGGTTCATTTTTTGTGATTTTAATAGCATTAAATATGTGCTTGCTGCACTTAGTGATGCATGCTAATTTGTCACGAGGGACACGTTTTGAATCCATTTCAATAATATCTGTAAGATAAAAAGGTCCTCAAATAATTAAAGTCACATTAATCATACACTTAAATGAGTAGGACATTTACTGCACAACACTAAAATTGCACTAGTTTTCTCTACAGTACTTGACGTTCCATGAAAATGCCTGTTTATCTGACCTTCTGTTGGTTCAAGTCCAGGTATTTCAAATAGATAAGTCAGTCTGAACACTTTTTGTGGTAAAAATAAAAAAAAGATTATTCCTGCTTCACAGATTAACTAGCCCAACAACACACAGACCACTGCAAATCTAGAAGTTTGGACCCCTTTTCTCATGACAGTGGAAAATAATCTCCACAAACAAGAGTTCTGAAGTTTAAAGATGTAAACTTCAAAAAACAACCCACCAACCAACAAAATCCCCCAAAACAACAAAAAACGTTTTAGTTCACAAACCTGTAATTGCTTTTACAACCATATCAGAGACTTCTGGAATTTCTTCGTTAACAGGAACGCACAACATTTGTGGAGTTACCCAGTGCAAAGCCCTATAACAAGGAGGAAGGGGGGGAAAAAAAAAAGTTGCAACAGTCCGTGCCAATAACACTCAGGTGTTTGAAACCAGTTGCTTCTTGAATTAATAAAATGCATGAGGAGTATTTTATTTAAATGAGGCACTAATCCAGTTATAAATCAACGTATTCCACATAAATAATCTATTATTTCAATTAAAAAATTCATTTTTTGCTAAATTTTAACAAAAGCAAACCAGTAAGTTTTCCTAGTGCAGCAGCTTTCATTATTCATTCTATTCATTCAATTTCTTAAATAAAATATTTTAACACTTTTTAGCTAAAATGCTTGCCGTTTTTGTGTGCAACAGCATAAGGTTTACCATGCTTGTTTCAGAGACCATTCACAGAACCATGGAGTACTCAGCTATTTCTGTTTCAAAGACTCACCTGATTCTCTTTTGGACAGCAAGATCCTTCTTCTCATCATCAGTTGTTTCAGGACAAAAGACGTATTTATACTGTCGAGTCATAATGTATTTTTCGATCTGATCCATTGCTTTCTCAACTTTTTCCGAGGGCACTGAAAGGTACAAATTCCACATACAGAATGTAGTAGTCCCCCCCACACAATATAGTGTCCCCAGTGTAGTAAATAAAGTATTGTAAGACCGTTTTGAAGATTTAATACGACTTACTCATACTATCACCAAATCAGTACTGTTGACTTGAGCAAGATACATCACATAAACAGTCAATACGCTTAGAATATTTTCATTCTCTACAGCAGATGTAACCATATAATGGTGAGAACACTGCCTTGACATGACTACACAAGTTCATGCATAGCTTCACAATGAGGCACGTTCATTTAGCAAGATTCAGCATGTGAATTAGGGTCAGTCATTTGTAGCTGACAAGAGCATTTCTTCAAGATACAATCTTTGAGAATAAATCCAGTGAGGTCCTCAAAGTCCTCTGCTCATGTTCACCACTCAAAAAACCCAAAATAAAACAGAACAAGAACTGGCTACATTTAAGGTGTGCTATTTACATACCAGGCACATAAAAGCAGTCTGCAACAGAAACGCTCCCCTGTCAAACCAATGAGAATTTTACTCATCAACTTCTTGGGCACCACAGCGTAAGGATTACAGCCTGTTAGCTGAGTTGACCCTAGGCATTCAGCCTCAGTTTTTGAGGAATACTGAATTTTAAAGGACAGGAAATGAAAACAACTGAACTATATTTGATTGACAGTTTAAAAAATTGCAAAAACTGATTCATTCAGACTGCAAAACTTTAAAGAAAGCGCTACCGGGAGTAGCTCTAATTATGGTACTAAAAGTTGTTAACAGCATTTCTTAGAGGTGGTTAGGAAGCATTTTGTTTTTACTGGAAGATGCAAGAGACTTTATCCTAAAAATATTAGTTTTTCAGCAGTAAGATAGGAAGAGGAGGAACACAATACCTTTCCAACGTGTCTGCAACTTCTCTGCTACATTTTGATAGAAGTCTTGGGCACACTCAGATTGCTCCTCAATACTTAAATCCTGTAACAGAAAATTGAGTAAGTGTGCACGTGCGGGAGGAAACGGTAGCAATGCCTCTGATGGTCTTTTATGGAAAGCATCCAGCTGCAGTAAGTGTCTGAGAATGCAAATAAATTCTCAGAGGTGTTTACATTGGCTAAATTATATTCAAAACATGAGAAACGACGACATAATAGCTCTTTAACATATACAAGATTTATATTTATTTGCTGAACAGCTCTATATTAGCAGCAGAATTGGACCGATGCAATGCCCTTATCCCAATCACATTTCCTACTGAGGATGTCAGGATAGCGCAGACTATTTAAGCAGAGTGCTTGTTCCCGATTTTGTCGCTTTTTTTTTTTGTTCCGATTTTTGTAACTTTTTAAAGATGATATGCACTATATCAAAAAATAAGAATTTAAATTATAAATTTGAAATAATATTTATACAGTAAATGCTTCAATGACAATGTTACTGCGAAATATATTCACAGTGTTATTTGTGAAATAGTTAATGCCTAAAAGGCAATGTTAATTGAGCTACTGAAGAACACAGAGGCTCACAGAGTTCATATTAATTTTGCTGAATTCCCATAGGCCAAAAACAAGATAGTCTCTCCGAACATCAAGTCTCAGCTCTGATGGCAGTGCTGCATTTTAGGCTTGGGTTACACACAGTAGCAAATTAAGGCTCGAGAAGGACTGCTCTTTGATTAGCCCAAACTCTGAAGGAATCAGGTAGACAAGAACACCTTTAATGTTTGTAACCAATAACAGCTCTACAACCACCACAAACTTTATGTTTAAAAAGAATCAATTTTAAAGAGATATTTCAAGATGTTTTCAAAGTGGAGGGCATGTAAGGTTCAAGCAGAACTTCCTGTAATTTCCAGTAAAATTTGAGGATCCCATTTGAGTAACTACAAACTAAATGGGAAAGGCAGTACAAAGGAGAGGTACTGAATACTGAATCTCTTCAACCATAGGTGGCACTACAGTCACATTAATATTTCAAGGAGGACAATATAGTTTTTATATAGAGAATGAAGATGTATCCCTTGTTGAGGGGTGGGGGGAAGAGGCAGGCACAGCCAAATACCCTCCCGAAAAAAAACAGCATCAACCAGCACACATCTCTGCTACTAACTTCGTAAGTTCATAAACCTAAAATATCTAAACACTGACTATGGAATATAGCATAGTTTTCCCAAATCATTTTTATCCAACAGATTATTTGTCCATCAGATCTTTCATCTTCCAGAACTAATTCCTCAGGGAGGCAAAGGAGAGTGCTTTCAAGATATCTGAAATATTGGAATTTAGGGGTTTCTGGGGTCACATGCCATACCAAACCTATAGAAACAAAAATTTAAGACTGCCATTAGATCTTCATTCAACTAAGTATGCTAGCCAAAGATTCCTAGTTACAATATCTAAATGCTGCTGGAAAAAAGGGCAGTATTTTCTCCATCTTTGACCAATTTCCTTATTTTATTTTTGTAAAAGACATGCAAGACACTTACCCTCTTATGATTCATTGTGTCCAAAAATAATTTACACTGTTTATAGATATCTTGTCCAGGTTTATGATATGTCTTGAGAAATTCTATGAATTCCTTGGATACTCGATCTGTCTCAATGCTAGCCTGCCTGTGTATAGAAGGGCTGGGAGCCTTGGCTTCCTGGATCTCTGCTGGGAAAAATTTGACACAGTACATTACCTTTTTTTACACCTGTGTATGAATTCAGGAAGTGTTTAACATGTATTAGAAGTTCAGATTGTTTTTTTCAGCTTCAGAGATGAATAAGCATTCCATTTGTCTGAAGAAAGTCTTAAATGTGAAATGCTGAATATTATTAAATATAACTGTAGGAAAGCGAATATTCCAAAGTGAAACATTTATAGCCAGACACCCATTTACACTAATGGCCTTTTAATGCTAGCAAATTACTGCAACATGGGCTTGCTTTCAAGTTTCTTACATTTTCATTCCCATATAAGAGCCCTCCACATGAGATCGAGGCTTCCAGATGTGATTCCACTGCAGCTTAAGCTAAAGGAGTGGTCCCATTCCCATTCTCCCTCACCTTTACGCTCCTGCTCCTTCACTTGCACCAACACTAGCATTCACTCATCCGGCTGATGCACTAGCTCAGGCAGTAGTTTGGGGTAGTCCTAGTCAGGAGTAAGTCTTTCTTACAGCATTATTTTTCAGCTGAATCAGCTTCCCGAGACAGCTTATAACCAGGTCACGGGAACACCAAGAGCAGCACAAGCCAGGGAATGGGAGCATGAGGCTGGTGCAAACGCAGCAGCCCCAGTTTGGCTGCCACAGAATCGCCCCAGCAGGAGCAGAAGCACCACATCTGTTCGAGGAAGAATCCGCCTGGCACTCGAGAGTTCGGTAGGAACACAGACTGCACACAGCACTGGATGCAAGTTTATAACGCTGCAACCACAGGGTTTTGTCACACAAGCGCATCCGATTTTCTGAAAAGGTGTACATTGCAAGTCAAGTGTACGGAACTGGTATCTTTGCTATCCAAGTGTAGTTCACCCACCTTTCAACTTGCCAGCCAACACTGTTCAAAATGAAGGATTGAATAGAGATGATGTAAACGAACACGATGAAAAGCAAGTAGCAAAGAGACAGAAAACATGAAAATATTCATAATCAAAATGATACAAGCATATCTTTTTTTTTTGAACAAAATTTGTTTCAATAAAAATACATGCAGAACTTCAAAGTAAAAGAAAAAATATTTCAGTGGGATTAGTATATTAAGCTGGTATGTTTAATTTGGACTTGAGGAGAGTTATTGTTTTTTCTTTTGTTTTGATGTTTGCTTTTAAACAGATGCAGAGCTACAGTAAATTCAAAGCTGTATGATCCAGTGGCTGGGAAACAACTGATCGATTGGCCAAAGCGCAAGACTTGTTAGAACCTCTAGACTTCAGCATAACCTTCTCTAGATAATAACTTGATTAGGCACTATTAGTGCATTTATGGTATTTAAGTGATAAGAACGGAGAAGCATTTAAATTCCAACAGTAGCAATCAAGACAGATCATGCAAATCAGTCTCCTTTCTAGTTATACTAGAATATTTTTTCAGAGGTTTTTTCTTCCAATCTTCTTTACAGCTAAGATGCAAAGTAGAACGCCTGTCAGCATTCAACTGAAGGGGCAACAATTACTGTGTGTTGAGCTAAACTTGTTAAATTGAGTATTACACAACCAGTCAATAAAGAGCATTGTTTCCAATGCATCAAAACTGGAAGTAGGTCCACTTTTGAAAGGACAGCAACTTTAAGTTATTTTTTTCCCCCGCAATGAATTCATGACTTTATTTCAAAGAACAGCGAAAGACTTATCTCAATACAGAATTCATTATATCATAAAAATGATGAACCTTGTCCTATTATTTGAACTTAAGGAATACAAATTTTTAGTCACAGATTTCAAGTAGATCATTTCAGTTAACTAAAGGCACTAAGAAAATAAAATTCGAATGTCAGAATGAACTGTCTTTTCAATGAGTCGCACCAAGAACTACATACAGAAACTCAGAAATCCAGTGACTTTGTTGTTCTCTCTTTTGAAAACCTGATTTGAGGAAGATGAATCTGCACAATACGCGCCGATTACTGAGGTCTACAGGAACTTATGTAGTTTCAGCAACAAAATACTTTCAGCTGTATCATGTATTCTATAACAACTAAGTCAGTCTACCTACAAAGAAACTGATTACAGAAAAGGTAGTCCAGTTGAACAAGTTAAAGAGGACCTAGCGGAAAAGACAAGCCAAAATGAAGAGCAGGGCAAGAGTTAGGAAAGGATCACCTTTTACAAAGAACAAACACTATTTACATTAAAATCTTGCTCGAGGCATTCTACGAAGGTGCTAGGTGTCACAGCAGAACGTTAGCACTCCAGTGATTTCACTATGGTTGTGCCATGGCTGTGGACTTGAGTCCACGTAAAGAATATGAAAAAAGTGCTGTCATTAGCTCTATTACATACATTCATTCATCTGTGTATATACTTCGCAAAATAAAGACACTGTACATCTTGTGTTTTCTTTAGTCAGCAGAACTCGTCAAAATGCCAAACAAGTAACAAAGGGTAAGACCCCAAACCCGTTCGCATCGTGGGTTTTGGTGCCTTTTTGATTTTAAATGAAACCAAAACATCCTCTTCTCTCAATATGAAATTGTCTTCTTGATTAACATACCAAATATCTGAAGATGTTTTGAGAATGCAAGTGTTCTTGAAGCGTGAACTATTAAATGAAGTAGCTTCAACTTATAATTAGATTTCTTATGGCAACCTGGAATTATTTTTTCTATTAAAAAAATGAAGCAGCACAAAAACCAGCTGCTTCTTTCAGAAAGGTGATCTTTTTGAAACTGCATAGTCTTTCAGGTGACAAGCTAAGGCAGAGCTCACAGCATCATCAATTTTATTCCTGTACTCCCCCCACCAAAAACCAAAGAATTGGTTTAGAGATTCAAGTTCACTTCAGAATGCTAGATTTGCTTTTTTGTCACCCTCATATTCAATAGCACGGGTTATAATTGGCACAACCCTAGTTTGCATTTTGCAAAGCCCAACTAAGTAAGCTTACTAAAATCAGGCAGACAGCTTGCTCAAGCTGTGCTGCATTACCTTCAGTAGGGGAAGCCAGTTCCCAGGAGGGAGTAAAAATCTCCTTCAAGTCCCTGAGAATGTTATCAGCATTTCGCTCCCTCCCAAGCTGTCCTTGCTTAACGATTTTCTCTTGAGCCACTGAAATAAATGCAAAAGCAAGCAAGACACCAAGAGCAGGAGTGTGTGAGGTGAGACAGTGAACGATGCAAAAGAACAAAACACGGGAAGTGAGAAGAATGAACGTTAAAAAAACCTAATTTTAATACATTACTGAATGCCTCATTTGGCCAGCTGGTGCTCATGCACCAAGACAATTTCTCAGGTGAAATCAAGGCAAATTTACAATTTATTGTGAAGGAAATGAGTTGCCTATAAGGCTAAGACACAATTTTGCTTGTTTTTCTGGAATTCCTCCTCCAGAGTCAAGCATTTTATCATTTGTGCCCAAGTCACAGCATGCAATTCATGGAAGTTATTGTCATGCAAAGGCATCAGTGCCATTAATCATTTTTTCCTTGCACACATGCTCTAGAGTAACCATCCAGCCAACAAACTTTATATTCACAGTCCACATACTCTTTTCTAGTTGAAGCTAAAGGCTGCAGTTTCCTTTCACTTTTATTTTCATTTAAAAGGTACCCTGCTTTCACATTCTAATTTTCCTAAAAGCTGCTTGAAGTGTTACATTGTGGCAGCATCACCTGATGTTTTATATCAGCATTTCTACCACCTTTAGACATATCAGTTTGTTTTAATGACTGACAGTCGGTGCCTTTCATCCTGTTTTCTTCAAGAAAAGTTCCCCTTCAAGTCCTAAACCACAGGATCACACAATGCTTGACTCATGACGCTAGCAAGAACGTGCATCACAGGAATAAGATACTCCCACTCAGCAGTGCGGTGGCAGTCTATCACCACCCTCAAGAAATAAATATTACACTTAAGTGGGAGAACTTCTATATCACTTTAAAACAGAGGTGTCCACAAGTCCAGTTTAGAAGTCCACTGTTCTACTTAAAAGACTGTTGTCACCAAAAAGCTCACATTTTTGTGTGTTTTCAGTAGCACTTCACATTTAGCATCCACTCTCCAAGCGCATCACTATTCCAACTGTTTCAAATATATCCTGCATCCAATGCCTTTACGGTTAAGTTTAACCTCAAATCTTCTAAGTTCAGTTATTAAAAGCGTGAAGAGAAACTGATGTAAACATCTACACTTTAATCAATCCAACTTTTAAAAATCAATATTTTGAACAAAGAGTATCCAGTGCTACCTTGGTATAATTCATGAGCTAACTAGTAGTAAGAATACATTAACATCTGTCGGCACACTATACATTCCATGCTGCATACCTTCACAGGTTATGAAAGGAAAGATACAGAAGCATTTTTCAGAACTGTAAATGACAAACCAAAAATTCTCGGAATAAGAAAATCCCTACCTCTTCTATAAATACCTCTGGAGTACTTTACATAGGAAGAGAAGGAGATTTGCCTTGTTTCACAGCTACAGGGATTCACATTTTTGAAAATCTTTCCTCCAACATAAGCCAAAAAGTTCTCATGAAAACAGACAACTAATTTTCTGCTTCTTGGGACAGCCAGCAACTTTGGTCAAGTTCCCAGCCATGGGATGAGAATCATGACCATGAAGATGAATGGCAGTATCTCTTGTCTCCGAGTACAGCGCACACATTGTGAAGTTACAGGAGCAGTAAACAACCCTTTCAATTTTGGGTTTTTTCCCCCTAATTGCAGAGAATCTGAGAAGGAAAATTATTTCTAGACTGTTCTTGTCAGCTACATAAATTCAGGCTGCGTGGATAAACTCCTGATTGACTGACCTCCTGATTGATCTGAATCAAATTCAAAGCAGTTTTCTTATTTTTTTTAAGCAGTGAAATACGTAGGTCCGGGGCTATGCAAGTAACGCTACAAGTCCACAGTTTATATGACCTGTATTTTAGTAGAATACATTTTTTTCAAAAATACTTCTAGCCTAACATGTTGTACAGAACCATTAAAAAACAAAGGGAAAAAAATTACCCTTCTTAGCTCCCGTTCTGGAAGAAGCAGTGAAGAACTTCTTCACAGTAGTCACCTTTCGTGTTTTCTCATTGGTTTTCTTTTCTTCAAATTTGGAAAAGGTCAGTGACTGCGCCCCTTGGGTACTCTGACTGCTGGCATATGCTTCTTCCTCCTCACGTTGAAGCCTAGGATGAGAAAGATGTAGGTCTAACTCAAGTGGTTAAAATCAGCACAAATAAGTTAATTTCCTGTGCAATAAATTACTCACTTGGCATGCCAATTCTCCTCTATCCCCACCTTCATTTCTAGGTGCCTGTCACAAGTCTCCTCACTACATTATGTCCGCTCTTTTCCCATTGTTACAGTGAAAGCGAGGGAAGGCTTAAGATAACCAGGGAGGATTAAATAGTAACGTCAGAACGGAAAAGACAAAGTGTTATCATGGTCACCTTCCCCTCATGTCATGACCTCGGATCTCACCTTCACAAAACTGGGTACTAGACACTACAAAGGTAGAGATGAGGGAAAAGACTGCAGGGAGTAGAAGAAGAGAAAGAACAGGGGCACTTCCATCAGTCCACTTTGTTACTTTCCGCCCATGCTCCCACCCTGAGTTTCACTGCATATATCAGAACTACTTTCTGTGTTTTGAGATGCCCTTGTCACCCAACACATGGCCCCTTTCTACCCCAACAAGGTCTTTGCAACCTTCAAACTACCCCTCTTTTCTCACTCTCAGACAATCCCTCATCTTCCTTTATCACCTTACTGAAAGTAAAAAGCACAGCTCGTAGGTGAGCAACTGAAATACTTTGTCACGGTCTCAGAAATACTCTGGAAAGCAGATTATTGCTGTCATAGTTGGTTTTCCAAGTCTTGGAAATACATATACTTGCTTGAATGATGCAAGCCATTTCACATAGCACAGCCACTTTGAAGGGCACTTTGCATACACCAAGCTCGTCTCTGATCTACACGTACCAAGAAGGAGAGGGTATGGAAGGAAAAAAAAAACAAACACACCAACCCTTTCAAGACTACTTTTCTTCTTATGCAGGAGGATTAAAATGGATTGAATTATATTTCTTTCCAAGATACTAAAGGGTTGAGTAACTTTCTTTAAACACTCATCCAGCCCACAATGGGCTATAAATGGTCTTGCGTTGTAACCTCTTGAGACAGGAATTAAGTCTTATCTGTGCTGTAAAGACTGTCGGCTCACTGTAGCGAATGATCATAGCTTATCTGTTTCTTTAGCATCTCCTTACTGAACAGTTACTTATTAAGGACTTTCTTAAATGCCCAGTATTATTACACTTAGACACTATAAGACTGACAGTATAACTACCTGCTTTACTAATACTGAAGCTGTTCAAGCCAAATTCACAATAGAGGGGGGAAAAAAAAGATGTGTCTTCTATACTATACTCAACAGCTCATCTGGCAGCTTCTAAACAGGATAGAAAAAGTTTCAAGCACTTCATCCTACCAGTCTTTGCAGCTAATCTGTTCCAGTGACAGACAAGAAGGAAAAATTCCCCCTCTTCTTCCCACTCCCCAAAATGCTACTTCAAGGCCTAAAAGAATAGGGTTAAGACCAGTTAGGTACCAGAAAACTTAAGGCTTAGAAACAATCCTCAGTCCGGACTCAAGTTCAGAGAGCTTCTACAGACGTGACCTTCTACAGGCAGGCTGGTGTAATCACTGCACTTATGCTCACTGGGTTTTTTTTTTTTTTTTTAAATCATCTTTGTTAACTTATCACTAGGTAACTCAAGTTCACTGAAAATGTTCCCAATTCAAGCACAGATATGCTTCTCAGCCATTTGTGTTTTTTCCTAGATAAAGTTCTGGAATATACCACTGATATGTTAAGGCAAGCAGATGCAGAGGCTCCGTGCCAATACGAACAAATGTCTCAGTCAGCTCAGGCCAACTGCCAGGCAGCTCCAGCACAGACACTTAGGAGTATGATGTGGCTACATGCTCCTCCATTCTCAAGAATTCATGCAGCCTTAAAACAGCTAATTTTCAGAGGGGGATGTCAGATAACTTACACCTGGAAGTGACAAGAAGGACAGCTGTGATGCCACCTACATTCAATGGATATTTTGCAGTTTCCCAGGCAGGTGACAAAGCTTTTATTTTTTACTCAAACTCAACAAAAAGCAATTGAAGCTGCTCTTATTTTCTCACTCATGCATCGATTCCCTTCAACCTCCGTTTTCAGGGTCAAGCACTGGGCACGTTAGAAAAAACTAGATTGCCTTGCAAAAAAGTTTGCTTGGAAAAATAACTCAAATCATTTGAAAGCTCCGATTCTTGTGGGCTTACCCTCAGTTTAACTGACCACAGACAAGATTAAAAACAATTTTTTAAGGAGTAGCCAAAATGTAAACCCATTGTGCTGGCTACATTCAAGACAATAACTGCTGTCTCTAGAGGCAGGGTTATTTTAATCAAAACTGTCATTTTCACCCTTCCAACTGCTAGTAAGAATTACAGATTTCAGTATGCAAATTAGGTCAAAGTATTCATTGAGGTGTTTTGGAGAATTTTTTGTTTACGTTTGTAACTCCACAGACTTGCTTTGAAACCGCTTAAATTAGAGTGCCATAAATATTCATCTTTGCTTCAAAAGGAAGATTTCAATTCCTACTGCAAAGGTCAAATTCGAGACCTTACGATGAACCTGAGCCAGCGCAAATACCACTTAAAAACAGGAGACAGAAACGGCGTTCAGTAAAGTCATCCTACTGCAAGAGACGAAGGAACAGAGAGGCCTCTTTACCGCTCTGCCAGCTCCCAGTCCTCTTGAATCTGTTTCTGCCTGGCCTTATGGTATTCCTCTCTCCAGCACTTGGAGCAAAAACCCTGCCAGGCAGGATTGCCATAGTAACCACAGCCCTTCTTGCACAGCAGCTCCGACTGATCCACATGAATTCCTCTGCGTTCCGACTTCAGGTTCATTTTCTTCCTGTTTGAAAAGAAAAGAGTTAGAGATAAACTTGATGCTAGATTGCTAGAAAGACTTTCTTTTGCAGGCTTGTCTTTTTGACACAAGCCACCTGCTCTAATTACTGGTGACTTCCATAGTAACAAAATAAAAGCCAGAGGAGGAAGGGCTCCGTTACATAATCGTACAGCACCAAAAGCCAATGGCAGCATTCACATACGTTTGCATAGCTTTGACCTGTAGACAGCCCTATGCAGCTGCAATAGGGACTGCAACCAAGAGGCTCTTCACGCCCACACCATCACCAAGCAGAGTCTTTTCTTCCAGCAATCCAGCTGTTCTTTCTCCCTCTTTTCTTTTTTCGCTTGACAGCGACTCTCCTGCATGCCAGCTTGCTCCCAAGGGCATTTCAACTACTTCGTTCTAATTCTAAATGCTGGGTTCATTTTAGGATAGCAGCAGCACAGAACCACCTGCAATGGCAAGCTTAAGATCTGCATATCAGAACACTGGCATTTGGACTGCAATAATGACACACACCAACACTAGACCGGAAGGCAGGTCTTAGCCACCAAATCCAACCCCTTTTTACTCCTGGGATCACAACAGAGAAAGCTTCGCCTAAGCTGAGTGAGCATCTGAGCTGTTCAGATTTCTTGCTCTAGCTTTTGTAACTGAAGGCTTTCCTAGGACTTCTTTCCTCTAACAGGAAAATCTGAAGATCTTTAAACCAAAACTATTAATGACAAGGGCACACCGCTTGCTCTTAGGTCAACGTTCCCCAGTCGGTCGAAGGCCCTGCCTCCCCTCCAGTATATTTGGCTATTACTCGAGATCACACGAGGAAAACAGGAAATACACTCCAGTCTTAGCAAGATGAAAAGTATTTTTTTTTTCTCTTTAAATGAAAGAATCGACATCAGTAACTTTCAGAGCAATCTTGTTTCTCCCCAAGACTCAGAACGTCCCTAAAGTTCCTGTGTTTGAGCAAGGGGGATCCTTGGCTCTTGCCGCCTGCTCAGTCGCCCCGGAAGCTCTTGCAGGCGACACGCTGGGAAGCGCTGCAGAGGTGTCTTTGTGTTATTCAGCAAAACAGATGCGAGGAGTACAACCGTCATTACCAAAGATAGTTGTCTACTATGGGAAATGACAGCAATTCTGTTCCAAATTGAATTATATATGACCAACTCTTGACAAAAATAATCTGATAGTGTTTAACGTTTCCTGTTAATCTAAACAAGTTATTTTAAGTAAAGTAACAGGAAATAGATATGACTTTCTCTGAGGGGGGAACCAATTAAATATTCCTAATATTAAACATATTTCCTAATATTAAAAGTAATACATGTATCTAATCCGTATCTCCTCTTTATTTTTCCTCTCTGAAGAAGTAATGAGTTTCTAGAAATAAACTAAAAATAGTTTCACTATAGAGACTTGTATTTTAAGGGAATTGGTCTCTTAATAACATAATTTGTAAAGACTCAGTTTCTAATTTACACCCCTGAGAGCAGCTAATTACATCCCCTTTTCTCTTTCCCACAGAAACATCCGACAGCTGGACAGTCATTAACGCCCTTCTGTTACTACAGACCAAAGAGAAGAAAGCTACGTTTTAAATAGTAGAGACAGCTTCTACTTCCCTCATTTCTTGATGGATACACTAATAGGGGAAAATAAGTACTTTGCCTTCGCACAAATCTTTTCGTTTCTCTTCTATTGTCATTTTTTGGATTCCTCAAGAGCAGTCATCACGCTGACTCTAAGGGGGCGCAGGACAGCTGACTGTCGAGCTATCTAGCAGACAGGAAGTCAGATGTATCTCCGTTGCGCAACCTGGAGTTAAATGGAATAATGAGATGGAAATTACGTGTTATCAGCATCTGGAAATGCCATCCATTCTCATAAGCCCTTTATCACAAATTTTGAAAAGAACGGGGAAGTGAAAGTTTGCAACTCTTCCACAACTGCTCCTAACCTGCAGTTTAAGGGCTGCCTCTTAAAAACAGAGCCTGCAGCAGCAGGCTTGTTAAAGACTTCTATTGCCGGTGCCTGTACGAAGCGATTAAAATTTCACACCAGGCAGTTTTCAATATTGGCATCAGTGGTAAAGCTGACCACCCTGAATATTTTGACTGTAGGTTATAGGGAGTTTTAAGGACAAGACAGACAAAAACATTTTCATATCGTGAACTCCAGAGAAATCTTACACAGGTCTCTATCACCCAAGGGCATAATATGCCTGATCTTGCCACTCAGTATAATGAAATAAGTTACAACAGTTTTGCAACCGTCTTCTGTAGACCCGCTTCACAAATTCAGGTGCTGCACTCAAGTAGAAGCACTGTGTTTAGGACACTCAGGCTTTTGGAAAACCAAAGCAGAACGAATTAATCTTGCTTAAATCCTGTATCAACATCATGCTTTCTGAAATCTTAACAGCATATTCCACTTGCCATGCCAATTGTGCCAAGCCTTTTACACTTCCACTGTCTCTGTACAGGCGCACAAAAACTGGCTTTTTCTATCTACAGGCCTCTAATCATATTTTAGTGCCACAATTATTTTTGGCATCCTGTTAACCTTTAGCGGACATCAGAACTAAAAATCAGGTTCTGCTCAGTGTTAAAGTTCAGCAACTTTCACTGCAGTAAGGAAAGAGGGTCTCTTGTTAATGAGATTTCAGTTTTTCGTGTTCTTTTGGGAGAGATTTGGAGAAAGCTGTAAAACCAAGCCACAGAGAAAGCAAGCAGTTCCTTCTCCTCCCCTTCAAGTATTTTAGATTGCAGTTACATCACTTTCAGACTCAGGGACAAAAGAGGTCACCCTGAATCAATATGAAGAAATCACATGCCGCACTTAAAGTGGAGGTTTTATTCTTCACTTAAAGACACACTACCATTAAAAAAAAAGTTCCACAGCCTTTTTTTGCAGACCAGCATTTATATTTTAACAAATTGAACAATTCAACAAGTTTATTTAAACCGAGGATCTTTAAATACAAATTTAATAATCCAGTTCAAGTCAACTTTGTGCAACTAAATCACCATATTTTACTACCTTTCATTCCTAAAAAAGGTATGTTAGAACTTCTGAGTATCTAAAATGTTTTTCCCTTATCCATTCCCTTCTCTCCTTCTCACTAAAGAAGCAGCATTTCTTATTCAAAGATCAACTCCTCAATGCACTCGCGTGGTCAGCCCTCTTATTTGTTTTCATGCTCTGCTCAAAGATGGCTTCCAAGTAACATAATCCTAAAGCGGGAAGAAATCTGGCTTTCCCAGGAGTTGGAAAGGCAGGCAACTCTGAACAGCTCCCAGACAAAAACAAAAAACAGAAACACTCACCAAAAAGGACCATAAAGTACCATAAGAACATAGATAAAGTTAACTGGTACAATTGGGAAAGGTGCATTGCACCAAATATCCTTTCTTCATCTTCTGCATCTCCGCTAAAAGACTTTGCAACAGTTGCAAGAAGCACCACACCTCCCAGAAGCAAATGCCTGCAATTTATAGCATACGTGTACTCATACTGCGGTTCGCCCGACAAACCCTTCAAATAATTCTGCCCTGAACCTAATCAGTTTGTGTGCTCTGAAAGCAGAAGGGGCACCTCCTATGCCCATCCTCACAAAACAGCATGATAACAAAACTTCTTTTCAGAGTTTCTGTACCAGCACTAGACCTCCTGCAAAAGCTAATATCTATGTTAACTAGTACCATGACTTTGGAAACTTAAAAGCAAAACAAAAAAAACAAGGCACATATTTATTTACAAATTTATAAAGTCCCTCTCTCCTTGATACTTATTTGAAAGTAAAAGCTAGTTCTCTCCCGTTTTCCGTCTTGCACGCGTTCGCAGGGGGGTGCCTCCCAGCCTGACGCCCAAGCTCCTCGGCACAACGCCAGCTGCCCAGAGCTACCGCTTTCCACGCTGCTCCAGATGGAGCACTTTTTTTTTTCCCCCCGAACTGCAGCTGCATCAAGAGCGATGAATACCTGTGCACCACGGCTAGATGTTGCACGTGATGTCACATTAGATATACGAGAAGGGCTGTACACTGAAGGTCTCCAACGAAAGATCAGATCGCCTTGGGTAGCTTTCTCATAAGCATCTTAGAATATTTGCAGTGGTGTTAGAGCGTCCAGCAAGTGAAACAAATTTGTCGTTTAATTCAGAATTAGCCTTTCACTTGCTATAAGGCTGTTCATTCTAAAACTCACTAATACATCTTCCTATCACTGTGTGTTTGTTTTCTTTTTGGCTAGGATAATTTTACAATTTTCCCTTTATTCATTAGTTATAAAGCACCTGTTTACTTACAGCAAACATTTTAAGGAGTATTATACCATCTCATACAGGTTTCTTGACACTTACTCAAAATCCTAGAAGTTGACTGTCAAGTTTGTCACCCAAGAATATCCAATAAACCACAGCTTACTTCAGAAAGTGGGAACTCAAAACAATTTTGGGGGGAGGATAAGCCAGCTGACTGCCCAACAGTTCCCCTCTGTGACTTTGTCAACGTCACAGCTGAAAGCGTACGTGGAAACGGTACAGGGTTTCAGCCACCGCAGCCACGGAAGCCGACATCTGAGCCCAAGCCAGCAAAACCAACCATTCTGCAAAAAGCCACACCGCTTTCCCCGAGTCACGTGCTTCATCCTACCATTGAAGATTTACTAAAGAACACCACAGAACGAGCAAGACACAGGAAACATGCATTTTGGTACAGGCGTCATCGACAGACAAGAACTGAAACGTTACAGTTGGGGAAGGCTGGCAGGCAGGGACGACAGACAAGCAGGGTTTTTTGTTTGTTTGCTTGTTTTTTGGTTGTTTATGTTCTCCACTGACCTGAAGTGCAACAGTACCCATTGAATACAAGTGCTCAATAAAGCACTTGTAATTCAGAAATGGATTTTCAGTTTCAGCTGGTGTCAGGCCTCAGATGCCCAAGTTTCTCTTGGGAAGCAAGACGAATACATCTAAACCTACAAAGGGATTTCATCACAGTGTTTGCACCGGCCAGTCTTTAGACAACCTCTGCAGACCGCGATCTGCGATGCAAGGTCCCCGCGCACCACGGGGAAACAGTTGCAGACTTCAGATTACAACCCACAACAGTTGCCAACACTCAGGCAGCAACAGCTCGCTTAAATACCACTTTAGATGCCCACGTGCCCGTTTGGGTCAAACCCCAAGAGGGCCTCCAAGTGGACATCCAGCCACAGGCATCTTGACTGTCCATTGACAGAAACAACGAAGCAGATCAACAGTGATGCTAAACTAACCAGACCACGCTGAGACACAACTACGCAACCAGATACTATTTTACTTTATTCCTCTGATGATCTTCCGTTACATTCCCATGAGACTAAAGATGCAACCTTCATAATCAGGTTATGATTTCACAGTGTCACAGGCTATTTCACAATTAAAACTGCAAGATAAGAAGAGAGCTCAAAAGCTTTCAGACACTTGAAGATTACATGTGACATCTTGATTTCTAGGTCAGTTATATAAGATACAAGGTTAGCTTTTAAGTTCCCCCAAAGTCCACTCTCCTCCAATTTTAATTCCATAAATCTTTAGGCCATTTTTGTCAGTATTCCACAACAGGCACTGAAGTAGCAGCAATTATTCCTCCAGGACGTCGTACCTTTGCATCAGACTCAAAGCTCTCGCCAGCAGCAAGAGACTGACTATATGCCGATTTTCACACCAAACAGATTACAAAATAGCTGCAAAAACTTATAGTAAACCTATTAAAATAGGTACTAGAGCCACAGCGAAGAACAGCTGCACCCTTAGCCTTTATGTAACATGAAAGAGGGACACCTTTCATCAAAACAGGATCTGTCACAGAACTGATTTAACGTACACACGGACAGGACTACCCTTACATAACGCATTCTTTCCAACGCTAAACCGAAGGTAAGTTTCGTAACACATGAGCGTTTACCAAAACTATAGGTACAGCTTTGGCTTCAGGGAAAGTATAGTTTGTGAAACACATTTTAGAAGTAGTATAGACTCTTCACGAGCGCAGGCACCACCGGCTCGTTCCGCTTGCTCTTTTCTAGCACAGAGCAATCACTACCTTTTTACTTCCTAGGGACAGGAGAGGCAGACAACTTTATCGCCAGTGCGGATAAAACACCGACTTACGACAAACTGTTTACGAGTCCTGGATTGCCTGGGCCACTTTGCATGGAAGAGCTGGTTGGAAAAGCCCACATATCACAGCTGAGTGGGAAGAAGCTTCACTTAACCAACCTATAGGCACCTTCGGTAGGATGTGACTGTAAGTCAATTAATAATTATTACAGGCTGTGAAAACTAAACAGCTCTGCATGCTAACTCCAGAAGTGAAAGCAGTGGTTTGGTAAGACTGCTTTATAAGCAAGTTTTAATACTGGTACCAAAGTTGATTAAGACATGTGATGCCTCCCTATTTTTACATAAAAAAGATTCAAAACAGGCAGGCTGGCTGGAAAGTATAAAACTACCTTTGACTACCGGGCAGCATATTTCATCCTTCTACACTTTCCACTTGAACAAAAAATCTGTCTCCTGGCTTCCGAGTCCCTCTTGCTCTGTTTTGTTCATCAGTTTACCTTACTCTGCTTCTTGCAACCAACAGTCTACCCAAGATAACCTTGGCACAACTCGTAGCAACAGTCGACACCAGCCTTTGCCCTGGACTGAAGTTCATGTGCTTTAGCTCTTGCTGTTCATTAAGAGCTATGAAGATTTGAACTATCTGTATTAATTCTTCCTGTAAGAAAACATCAAAGAGTTCCAAAGAGCATTTTCTGAACATCTGACGCAGCATCGAGTACTGCTGCTGTCTGTCATAGCAGCCATCCCCAGGCATGGGAGTTTAGTTACTGAAAATAAGTTTACAAGGTAGACCATGTCTACTGGGAAATGCATCAAAAAGGTGGGGTGGGGGGGACTGCATTAATTAAAGTCTCTAACAATTACAACTTTCGCCTATGCAAAAGGTCCTTACAGTAACATGTCTAGCCACCAATGTTGGAGGCTATTACAGCATCCCAAATGAAAGCACCTGCAAAGAGATGAATAGCCTGATCTTAAAAGCGAGGGGAAGCATCTCTTCTTACAAACAGCAAAAAACATTATCACTGCCAGCATCTGAAGTAGCAGAAAATCTTTCAAGCGAATATCAGTCTCAAATATCAATTTGTGAATTAACCAGATAGCCATTCTGCTCTTTCTCATCAGCTCAGTACTTCTTCCAAAGAGCAACCACTGCCCTGAATGACATCAAATTCTTAAGAGTCATATAAGTGTTGAAACTGCCATGATTCATACGCAGCTCTGAACATTCGGGCGTATAATTAACACAAAGCTAATTAAACATGAGTTAGTTTCCTCCAAAGGAAAGGGTGGGGTAATATAATCTAAGAGACTCATGAACAGAAAACATGAAAGGCATCGTAAACTTAAGACTTAGGAAAGACTGACAAAGAAATACAGTTGCTATCTTTGCAGAATAGATTGCATGAGTCTTAACTATTTTAACTACAACCGCCATGGAAACATCTGAAGCCTAACAGCCAGGAGATTTCAACAACCCACCCGCAGAGCTTGTGGTCTGCTTCAACTTGAGAAGGAACTTTTCAAAGAGTAGTCAGAGCATCTCCCCGCTCCAATGCCACCACAGACCTCAACGATTTTATTCGTCCACATCAAACTCTTAACTACTGCCCACAGCAATGACTGTGCTGTCAGGAGTAGCACGTATTCATGAATTAACAGACTACATCGCAGCATCTACCAGTGACTCATAATTGCACCTTTAAATGAAATGACAACAAACATTAACAAAATTGATTTGTACTGTTTGACTGGGAATTCAAATTAAAATAAGGACACAATTATCTAAAACTTCTTAGATCTCTTCAAAAGCATCAGCTGTCGGGCGCTTCATATGCAATATATTTTGCCAACGTGTCAACCTACCACGTTATTTGCTCGCCTGGGTACGGACTAAAACAAAGTTTGCTAAAACCTTAGAGAACGGCGTCAAAACATCTTGTATGCTTTGTTTCTGACTTGGTACTGACAGCATCTGAAGAGTACTTCTCAAGCATGATTAGATGGGGTGTTTTGAGAGATGTATGAGTTTAGGTCACAAGGAGTCGGTCCATCAACAGGCAAAAGAGAAAACCACACATGCTAAAGGGTCACATAGCAAATAGCAAGAGAGGAAGCGGAAAGACTGCTACAGATTAGATAGCACTGCAAAACAAAGCTACCAGAATCGTGGACTATTTTGGAGCTTATAATTGGTTTATTTTGTAAAGCGATCTTCTGAATTGGTACATTTGGCTTCACACTCCTATATTTTCTTCTACTGCGCATCACTTTGATTTTCACCAGGAAAACACTGCATCAAGCTACCGTCCTCTTCCTAATCCTCTCCCCGCAAAACACCTGTGTAACCCTGCCCAGAAGGCCAGCGCATTCGACTCCTGACGCAAGCTCTGTCCCTGTAAGATGCTGGTTCCTCTTAAGCGGAGAGATCGCTAGTCTCTGAAGTCCCTTATCGACTGAAGGGGCTCTCAGGTAACCGCAAAAACCAAGAACCGGCCGGCACAGACCCCCCCGCCCAGTACTGATATAAGGCGCTGCCGATACGAAGCACACCTTCGA